GGCGGCTACGTCATAGCTTCCGAGAAAAGAGATCTTATCTCGAAAGCTGGGGGCAACTGTTGGGCCCGAATTTAACCCGTTAGCTGAATTAATGGGCCAAATAGTAAGGGCTGTTTGCGAAACTTTACGAGCCCATTAAGAAGCCTCCCCTTAAATAAGAACCACATGAAACCGTAACCTATCGGTGAAAACAGGTCACAAACAAAAGACTCGGGACCTCATTTTCAAAACAGTTAGCAAGAAACAGCTCCGGAGAGACGTGCAAGACTTAGTCAAGCGGAAGCTGTTGCGAATCCCGCAACTCATGGAGATAATCACGGAGGCTTCGTCGGGAGAAGTGGGACGTGACCTAGTGCTATATAAAGGAAAGAAGAGATCAGAGGAAGGGATTCAACTGATTCAAGAAAACAAGACTCTAATACACATTGTTCTTAATCATTTTCGATCAATCATTGTTCTTTCCATTAGATCATCAAGATCATCCTTGTAAACTCTTTTATTACCAAAAATCAATATAAACAACGTATTCATTCTCCAAGTTCTTAAGGGATTCAGCCCACGATTGTCTTCTCCCCAATCCTAACCTAACCTAAACTAGGAAGTGAGATTTATCCCTCACAGCAACTTCTCAGTACCATCACATGAGGAAACAAAAAAGATACGAATAAAGTCAAAGTATCCAAGTTACTGTTGGTCGAAACAAAGACAACCTCAGACTCGGGATTAGCTTTTACAGACAAAGTCCAAATATTACAGCTTACATACCAAAAACAAGTTATGATTTTGCTAGCAAGAGATCAGGAGAACCTATTGATAAAAATATCGCTTTGATTTATGTGTTTTGCACTTTTTATGTTAAACAGAAGATGTATGTGTTTCACCTGATTTCTTCGAGTCAATGCCCATGCTCTGAAGTCTAAACCATGAGGAATCATGCTCTCTAAAAACGAGCACACAAGAATTATCCAACTTCTTAAGCAAATAAGTTAGAGTCTATTTGCTCCACGTTTGGGAAGATTTGTCTGAGCACAGCAACGTAATCAGAAGACTTGGCCTGAGAAGAGATAGACAACACATAAATGAATATTACTTGAACCAGATACACCTTTTCACAACTTCCAAGCCAGAGAAACTACTAATCTAAAAAAGATATCGGTTCTCAACCAAATAAATGAACAGATACGTGCAGAAACTACAACCAACTTGTGATACTCAACTTATGTTCCTCAACGCACTAGAAGATTTAACTAGATTAACAAGGGGATACGTATCACTATACAGACATGCCATATCGAAAAGCAAAACAAAGTTAGGAAATCTTATAGTAATGCACGACAAGTGACTAAGATCTTGATTTATGGTTAAACTTACACAAGGGTTATTTTCGAGGTAGATAGTGGTAAGCTTATCTTTAGAGCCTGTAACAGCTTCTGTGATTGCTTCAAGCGATTCTATCTGGTTGTCATTAAGCCATAAATCTTCCAGCCTACAGGTTAAGGTAAAGTCAGAATGTAAACAAAAAATCACCAAAAGACAAAAACCAGTCCTCAACCAAGGGAAAAGAGTGAATACTTTGTGAGATTCTGAATGTCATCAACCGATGTGAGCTTGTTGTTCGACACGTCCAATACCCGTAGGTTAACCAACGTATTCAAGCCTTCAATTTTTGAGATACCATTATGGCTCAGATATAACTCTTCAAGAGCAACACAGTCCTGTGCACATCACTTTACATGCATCAGAAGAATAAAATGATGATTCGTGTATCTGCATAAAGCTAAAAAGATGCACACCTCAAATCCTTTCATAGAGGTCAATCGATTACTCTGCACGCTAATCTTTTTAATACAGTTGAGCCCACACAAGTTCACAACTTTGATACGGTTTCTTCCAAGCCACAGTTCTTCTAACTTTGTCAAGTTCTCCATATTCTCCATTACCTGAATAAACCTCAAAACTTTCATATTCATTGGCTAGAATCAGTGTTCAAGAAAGCGGTCTATTGGCCTTGTAAGACCGTGGTGATTACCTTTTGAGCCGCTTAGACAATTACAATATTGTAATAATATATAATATATAGTTTATTACTCATAAATTATAATAATTAATCTATTATAATATAGAAATCTGATGAAAACAAAATAATATAAATTTTATCATTTGTAAGAAATAAGATTTAATATAAAAAATTACATACATATATTGTTATCATTTATAAACGCCTAAGAGCATGATTAACCCCGACCTCTTAGCCGGAGTTCTCAACTTATGATTTGACACTTTCTTTTTCTTTTACACTTTTTGGCTAAGAAACAGCTCTTATATCTCTTATTTAAGAGATGTTTCTTAACCTAAGAATCCCAGTTAAGAAACTGGGGTTAATCATGGTCTAAGCCTCCTAACTAATAATCTAGGCGTTAGCTTAGTCGTTCTAGGTGCTAGGCGTTAGGTCACTGGCTAGAGAAGCATTGTAAAAGCAATCAGAAAACATCAAAAGTAAGGGATAACTACAAACCCGCAATCTATTAGACCCAAGCTCAAGAATCTGCAACTCCTGCAAATGTTCAATCTCCACAATCTTGTTAACTTCATTCTTAGACACATATAGCTCCTTCAACGTGCTAGATGCCTTTGACAATCCTTCCAACGAAGTGATTTCATTGAACGATACATCAAAAACCAAAAGCTTCGAGAATATGCTTATATCCGGTACTCTTGCTAGCTTGTTATCTCTCAGAATCAACTCCTACATAAACAACGATGAATCATCAAATCCTAGGTCCGGCCTTGGATATCACTATTTATTAAGAGATTCGTGAGATTTCGATACCTCGAGATCGGATAAGGCGTCCCAGCGAGAGAGAGGCTCGACGGCGGAGTCTTCGATTAGGTTTTGGCGAAGGGAGAGCTTCTTGAGCGTGGAGAGGTGAGCGATCCTCGAGTCCAATTCGGATAAACGGTTCGCCGTAAGGTCTAGCTCGGTTAACGTCGGAGGTAATTCGATGGAGTCGAGATTGTGGAGCTGGCAGCTGGTGAGATCGAGAATGTTATCTGAATCGTCGATCTCCATCGGTGGTTCACTGTTCATGGCTTTTTTCGTTGAAGCTCAGGACGACGACGAGGAGAGCTTCGTGGGGGGAACTGGTCCACGGGGGAAGAGTTCTCTGATACTCTAAAACGTCGTCGTTTAGTTGTGGGCTGAAGCCCATTAACAAGCGCTGGATAAGTGGTGAGCTGACACACGTTTTTGTTTTCTTTCAAAATAGCTGAAGATAAAACGAATAAACTTCAAACCAATGGAGACTATACACATCTATACTATTAAAGCTGAAGTACAAAAAGTTAAGTGTTTGGAAACATGAATAAGAAATATTTAAAATTCTGGTGATTGGAAACAATGATAGCCTACAAATCTAATGGGTTTTATTATTTATTAAACTAAAGATTAATGTGGTCCAAAGTATCATTATTATTGATTTTGGGTTTTCTATCATTAATATTACTTTATTTCTGAAAATTATTTTTACATATATATACTCGTGTTTTAAATTTATTTAGAATAAATCAAGAATAATATATATTTTATTTATATAATTTATATTGACTATTGTTATAAGTTTTTAACAGTGATATACTTGCTTTCTAATTCTTCATNTATCATTATTATTGATTTTGGGTTTTCTATCATTAATATTACTTTATTTCTGAAAATTATTTTTACATATATATACTCGTGTTTTAAATTTATTTAGAATAAATCAAGAATAATATATATTTTATTTATATAATTTATATTGACTATTGTTATAAGTTTTTAACAGTGATATACTTGCTTTCTAATTCTTCATTGAAAATTTAACTTAAAAATTTGACTAAATTGTTTCGTGTATATAACTTTGTACCAAATTTAGCAAAAAAAATCTTATAAACTATTACTAAAATATTAACGGGTCAAAATATTATACCGACGCCCCTGTTACACAATACAATGATGAAATACAATATTTAAACAGTATACTATTACTTAGTAAAATTGGAACCATTAGATTGTACTTTTTGAAATATTTATATATACCATAAAAATAAAGACCCGCCCAATCGGGCGGGTTATGATCTAGTACACCTTGTAAGTTGTAAATATTTTGTTAACATTGAAACATATATCTTTCAAACCAATGGAGACTGAAACATACGTATTGTAACCATTTGCTAACATATAGTAGACATACATATTGTAATACAAAACCAATATTTAATTACAAAGGTAGAGTCAGCATTGTAGCTATTCCTACTCAGTACTCACAACAACGGGAAAGGAAAGTAGATTGAACTAACTCATCACCATATAAGTATATCATGTACGTTTTGCTTGGAACACTCTGTTATACCATACAGAATGCACAATATCATCAATATATTATCATACATTTTTCCACTTTAAAAAGAATTTTATCATACACAAATAAAAATCATAAAATGAATAGTGCACTTTAACGAAACAAGATGGTATATACTAAAAAAGAAATACAGAAAAGAAAATATACAAGAAAAAAATGAAAACTAAAGAGATAATCATTCTGCTCCCCCATTACAAAAAAAAAAAAAAAATCATTCTGCTCTTTACATAACTACGAGAACTTTAAAAAATTGCCTGATGGTCAGGAATTCGAAAAGCTAAAGGAGAACTGACTTTTGCTAGATGACAAGCATTACAAAACAGAGTTTATGTCAAAAATTTCAAATTAATATATTTTAATAGTTTTAAAACGAGCAAAGAAATATCAAACGTATATACACAAAATAAAAACAGAAAGAAGAGATCAAGAAGGAAAATTCCAAAAGTATATTTTTGGTGTCAGCTATTCGAATAGTTTTAAGTTAAAGACGACAGGTAGAAGACAAAAGACCATTGCATAATGAGTAAGTAAAATGTTGTAATCATTAAAGTATCATCAATATTACGAAATATACATACCAAAACAAGAAAGAAAAAAATAACAGATAATCTATCTCTTCTTACCTCACAAGTCACAAGTCTCGTATGACATACACTCCTTTAATACATGAGTCTTCTTCAATAGCCACTTTCCTTATCTCTCCATAGACATTCTCTAACATGGACAAAAGAATGAGACTCAAAGTTCCAAGCATAGTCCGGTCATCTCTAAGCTCTTGCCGACCACGAGATCTAACCGACGTCGTTGACACTTCTGTTGTTGCAAGTCACACCACCTCTTCCAAGAGATTCTTCCTTACCAAAGCTCCACGTGTGTACAGTCACAAACCTAAGCCTTATGCCTTCCCTTCGAACCCTTTCTACGAAGGAAGCCGTTCCTTTCGAGATTTAAGGAAGAGGATCAAGACAAAGAGGAAGCAGAGATCATCTCAGTGTGGTTCCGATTCTCTTCTTGCCTCTAGTTTTAAGTCAAGTGGGTCTTGGTGCTGGTCGTGTAGCGAGGGAGAAGAAGAAAGTGACGATAGAGATACACTCTTTTCTTCTAGAAGCTTCTCCTCGGAGTATTCCACGGCGGAGAGTTTTGCGGTGGTGAAGAAGTCACACGATCCGTATAAGGATTTTAGAACGTCAATGGTGGAGATGATCGTTGAGAGACAGATCTTTGCAGCAGCTGAGCTACAAGAGCTTCTTCAGTGTTTTCTATCGTTGAACTCTCTTCAACACCACAGTGTTATAATCCAAGTGTTTTTAGAAATTTATGGCACCTTGTTCTCTCCTTAATCTCTATCTGTCAGTAACATCTTTTGCTAATCACTATGTTCAACCTTATTTTGGCTTTTTTTCCCTTGAGCTTTGTGATATTAGCCATGTATTTATGTTATCAAACAATAATCACTAGTAGAGCATATCTACCCATCTTACTTCTATAATAATATCTCTAAAATATATTGCTATTTTTTTCTTCTATATTTAAAATTACTATTTTAGCAAACTCCATTGTAGTAAAGTACAGTTTCTCTATTTTATCTTACATTCATGCACACTATTAAACCAGAGGAGGCCAAGCTTCATTTACAAGCTGGAGAGATCCAAGACATATATATTTACATTCCTATACGGGAAATATTTGAAGTTTTAATAAAATGAATTGTTTTTGTTAATACTAGAGAAGCAAGCAAATCATTCTTGAATATTGGACTTCTTTGTTGACACAAAGGAGTAGGGAGAATATTCAACAACAAAATCCTAGTCATTATGCTATCCCTAATGAACACTTGAGTTTATAAAAACAAACAAAGATCATCTCCTATCAATTATTCCACTAGAAAAAAAAATCTCAAAAGGAAAAAAAAAAACTAAAACTCTTAATAGAAAAGAAAAAAAAATCAAACTTGGTCCAATTCTGAGATAGTCTTCCGGTTCACACCAGTACCCTTGATGCTATCTTCATCATGGCTGATAGGTTGGTACCACTTGGCAAAGACCAAATAAAACACAAAATCAATAGCAGCTAATATCGCAATCAAAAAATAAAACCTATCCATATGACCTTCATTGAGATCTTCCGGTATCCACCCATGACTCTCCCCTCTCGCAGTTATAGCCATAACAATATTCACCATCAAACTACTCACATAATTACCTAACGCCATAGAAGCCATACACAAAGAGCTTCCCAAGTTCTTTAACCCATCTGGTGCCTGTCCATTAAAGAACTCTAACTGTCCAACGTACATAAACACCTCACTAGCTCCCACAAGAACATACTGAGGTATCTGCCACAAAATAGTAAGCTCACTTTCCCTTTGCCCCGGGAGGACTCGTCTCAACCGTTGGATCTCTGTTAATCCTGCGGCCACCATTGCCATTATACCAATGATTAAACCTATCCCCATCCTCATAAGTTCCGTGGGGCGCACGTATGGGAATATGACGTGGCGGTAGATTCCTGTTGATATCAAGACGCTGCATATGTCGAAGACCGACATGCTTGCCGCGGGGATGTGGAACTTACCGACGTTTGCGTTCATTACGTCGCCTTGTTCCACGAATAATGAAGCCATTTGTGTGAAGATCACTGAGTAGATTATAGTGCATAGCCATATTGGGAGCATTTTCATCACACATTTTGCTTCCTCTACTTGTGTTACACTGCATAGCCTCCATGCATTGATCCTTGTCCCTTTCCTATATTATATGGATTGTAAAATACCTTAAGTTAAGAGATGGCGATAAAAAAGGATATAGATAAATATCCTCAAATAGCACTAATTAACTCAAGTTTTATTCAAAAAATAACACAAAAAAATCTCTCAAAAAGCATACGCAGAGTAAAAGATGAATATATTTATATATTTATGTTTAAGATTTATTGATTAAAGTTTAGAGTTTATTATCTAGAAAGTGGAATTGGAGTTAGGATTTAAGAGGTAAGATAATTAGTGTTTTTATTAATTAATAAATATTAGATGTTGGAGTTTTTTCAAAATGTTATTTTTGTGACAAAAATTTAAAGAAGATTATGTTTATGAAATTTGTCCAAATATATAATCATATTAGAACATAGTTCTGGTAGTTGAAAAAATAATGAAGTAATTTATAAAGGATAATATAATGTCATTAGTATATATATGTATTGATGTATTGTTTCGATTTTGTTGTGTTACCTGTCATCCTCAGTAATCACTGCTGCTCTATCCAAGAAAACAAATTTGGTGCTATGAAATATCTTTCTACTTCCTTTAATAGCGGATTCAGGGCCTTCGAGTTCATACAACTCCTGGTGGTTATCTGGCCTGTCAACACTCCACTTCCTAACAGTGGCCACGAACACTTGCGCCAGGCGTGGTAACGGGTTCCCACAAGGCTTAACAAAACGATACCGTTTTGTCGGGCCAAGAAAGGCAACTAATGCAATAATAGCAGAGCCTAGTGACACCAAGAACCCTTCAGTCCACAACCCTCTATCCTCAAAGTAAACAAGGATAGTGTTTGAAAAGAGAGCTCCGACATTAAGTGCAAAGTAGAAGTAGCTGAAAAACGCAGCTTTAGAGGTTTTGTCATTATCACCAAACTGGTCTGCACCGAAAGTAGCCAGCGTTGGCTGGTGACCTCCGTATCCAAACGCTACAAGATAAACTGATAAATAAAATATAGCAACGCCGAGTGAAGACGGAGAGTTGCAGATGAGGTTTCCATCGCCACAACCTCGAGGTTTAGTCAAGAAAAACCAAGAAGTGAAAGAGAGGAGACCCACACCGAGGACGAAGATGACTTGGAAGATCGTGCATGTTAAGTAACGACCCCAATATGAGTCGCTGAGAAATGCACCAACAAGTGAAAACATGTAAACTGTTCCTGTCCACTTGCTTACGTTGTTTGCAGCCTCTGCATTGCCTTGTCCCATGACACGTGTTAGGAATAGAACAAGGTTCACTCCCACCCCAAAGAAGGCCAATGTCGCTAATCCTTGATTCCCTATTATAAATGGTGGTAGAAACACAACAAAGACTATAGTAAAAACTTTGTAAAAAAAAAAAAAAGACTATAGTAAAAACTACTAGAGTGTGTGTACACAGGACTTTGTCTTGGTTACATTATGACTATAGATTTTTTTGTATGTGTAAAAAGTAAGTGTACCTAGCAAAATGATTGCGTTAGTCCAGCCACCTTTCTGCTTTGTCTCCTCATCATTGGTCTTCTTCTTAAGATCAGAATCGTTGGACTTGAGAGATACCACACTTTGGTTATCTTGAAACTCTTCTACCTCACCAACTTCAAAATCTTCATCTCTCTCCCGCTCCTTGAAAAGAATGTTCATTCAAATTAAACACTTTTTGTATAAATTCCAAAACAACTTGCAATCGACATGGCTCTATTATACTCCCTAGAAAAACAGTTATTCTTTAAATGGTTCTTTTTATACTTTTGTTTTAATATTCTTTAAAGAAAAGATAGATGTTCTTGATATGAAAGCTTAAATTGAATTACTAAAACGAAGAAAAAAAAGTCAAAAACAGATACATATTTTACGTACATTTAACGGAACAACGTTGCCATTACTTGTCGGTTCCATAGCGGCCGTTTAGGGTATCTATACGAAGGTAACATTTGATTATTAGAATAGTAACAAACTAGAAGTTTAGAACAAGAGGATATATAGAAACAACTAAGTGGATATATTTTCATATGGTTAGGCTTGAAAATTCACCATAAAGAAAGTATCAAAATAACCATAAAAAATTACGAAATATATGATTGAATGCGGTAAGCAAAAGTTGTTCATCCCGAATGAATTATTGGTTAAATAAAAAATGGACCTTTTGCGCAGAGTCTCTGGGGAAGGATCAGAAGTTGTGTCGAGAATCAGAACTGGTCGAAGAAACACTTTCGATGGTGGAATATTAGAAGCACCTTTTGTCATTTATGGTTGAATGATTTTGTGTGTGTTTGTAACTTTCTCGCGTTTGATCAAACCTGAAAGGAAGTACGTCTTTTACTAAGATACACAGAGAGCGAGGTGACTCTATCAATCAATAATGATAACAACCTAAGTTAAGAAGCTTTTCATTCTTATGTATATAGATTTAGTTAGCAACAAATATCCTCGAATAAAGGGTTTGTTAACATCAGCCGCGGAGAGTAAGAGACATCTTTATTTATTTTTAAAGGAAAATTAACGTACACTATCATTGCTTGCTGAGAAACTTGGGGAGCAAAAACATGGAATTTGTTATATTCTTTAACAAAATGTTAAATAAATAAACATCCAAAATTGCTGAAGAAAACAATATATTTATTAATGTTTTAGAAATTTGTTAACCAAATGTTTATAGTCTTAAATTGAGAATATATATTGATCACAAGATTACTCCTAAATGACTGGAGTTTTGTTACTAGCTTTGGGCAAATTGACCCAAGTTTCAGGCAGAAAAACAAGGATTTGACTGAGTCCCGGTCGAATTCACTCTTTAGAAACAAAAAAACAAACATTTTTCTAGGAAGTCAATAAGGTGACTTTTATCTACTATATGTCACATCAGTAAAACATATGATCACAACAAATAACTAGAGTCAAACGGATAATAATAGTTGTAAAGAAAAACAACAAAAATCGAACACAAATTCTACATTTTCTTGTTTTCGATAATTATACAACATGCGGTTACTTTTTTTTTGTGTGTGTACCTTTCTGTATACAAATGTGGAGTTTTAGTTTAGTTTTGGTTGGCTGAATATCATTTGAGATACGTTTATGCTAATCAATTATTTTTTAATTAAGATAGGCTTACAACAAATGATATAATTAAACAAAGGAAAACTATAAAACGTTATAACAAAAATAAATGCTGATAATTAGACTAATTTAATCGAAAATCTCTAAGGTAGACTAGTTTACCTAGAAAAAGGCCCTTAAAATAAATAAAGCCTCTAAAATATGGGCTTTATTGGGCTATATTGGCTTAGCCTTAGAAACCAGGCCCAAACAAAACTAGTGTAAACCAAACATGTCTATAAATAATACAAACAAAACACTCTGTCTCATCTTGTCGGAAAATGCCCTTTTCAAACTCCGCCGGAAAATACCCAAATCCTTAAGACACAAAAGATTTCATCTTTACGGAAAATGTCGTCGTCAAACTTCATAGTGGAATCGTGTAAAGTTGATTCGGAGGAAGGAGTGAAGCTTCACACGAGAATCTTCAAACACAGAGACGACGTCGTACAAGGAAACAACGACGACGGGAATAGTGTTGGTGCATCCCTTCTCGCTCATGGGTGGTTGTCAAGCTTTACTCAAAGGCATAGCTTCTGAGTTGGCTTGTAAGGGTTTTTGGTCTGTTACTTTCGACACGAGAGGCGCTGGGAAATCTACGGGAAGAGCTACTCTTACTGGCTTCGCTGAGGTCAAGGATGTGGTCTCTGTTTGTCGGTGGCTTGTTCAGAGTTTTGATGCTGATAGGATCTTGCTCGTTGGTTCTTCTGCTGGTAAGGTTTTTTTTAGTTTGTGTTTATATGCTAATTAGATCTTACAAGTTAGTTGTAACAGTTCATTGTTTGGTTTCTTCTGAGTTACTATTCAAACTGAGGGCACTGCTTTCTGTTTCAGTGAACCAGTTAAATGTATCTTTAAGTGGTTTAGTTGATGGAACTCTCTTTGTGTAGTGTAGGTTAAGCATCTGTCTTGTTCCTATTTTTTCTCCACATTTAGATAGATCCCTCTTTGGCTTTGAGTATAGATGATAAACTTTGGGGAATAATAGTATACATGAGAATGGAATAAGAAAGTTCAGTGGAAAGAAGAAGATTAGCATTGTTTTTAACTTAGAATAGAGTTGTCCTGATGATTTTAGGGTAGAGTGTGGTGACTTTATTTACAGTTTCTCTGTCTCTGCTGATAACTCGGTTTCATGTTTGCGTCATGAACTCATTAGCGTTAGCCAACTCAAGAAGAAGCTTAAATCTGCAGCTGGACGCACTGAAACACACCTCATTGAAGGTGTTAGCCATTTCCAGATGGAAGGACCTGAATATGATTCTCAGATGGCTGATGTCATTTGCAACTTTATTTCATCCTTATAAAAGAAATCATTATGCAACCTGATGAGTATCCATGTAATAGTTAAGACTTCACTTGTATCACATCATAGAGAAAGGATGATAACAATCTTTGCAGATATTGTATATTCATATATTTTCCTGATGGCAAAGAACAGATGTTCTACCAAATTACCCTGAGTTAACTTGCTGCACAAGGAAGATGACGATCTTTGGTATGTAACTTTTATTCAGATTCAGTGAATTGCCCCTTCGTTAAAGGATGAGTTATTCCCTGGAGAAGAGTTTTAACTTTTAATTTTTGTAATCATAATCTCCCACTTCTTAAGGTCCTGATTTGATTCTCATAGATAATGATAAACATGTTCAATCTTTATCATTTAATACATAAAAGACAGTGGATACGCCACACATGTTTAATTTATTTATTAAATGTTTTTGATTTTCTCTTATATAAATTTAATTTTGAAGAAATATAAAGACATTCTCAAGCCACTCATGCAACACGTCAGCCTTTTTCTTTTTTATAATCTTATAACGAATATTGTTGCGTAATATGTTCTTACAATATATATTAAACATATATAATTAAGATGGCCTTACATCATTTGTAACAACAAAACAAATATTTTCCCCGAATATTGTTTTTCTAAATTATCATAAATTTACACTCAGTTATGAAAGATGTTTTTTAAGTTAAAATACATACTGGCACTGTGTATATATAGAGATACCGAATCAAGTGTTGTAGAGATAATATAGGAGATTTATTACCAAAAAAAGACAAACCAATATTTACTCATCACGTTGAAAAAATCCATAACATCATCTCCCACTATCTTTGGCCATCCATCTATATAACACAACCCATACTCTCCAATTCTCTACAACCAACTCAAAAATATATAGAAAAGCAAAGACAAAGATATTACATCTTGCTTGCTTGTTTTTGTAACCATGGAGAGTGTAGATAGAACAAACTCCTCGATACCAAAGGGTCGAGGAGTAAACTTCTTGCCCCCAAGAAACTTTTTTCTTAAATTTAGTGCGAAATGTAAGGAAACTTTCTTTCCTGATGATCCATTTAAACCAATATCACAAGAGCCAAACGGTTTGATGAAAACAAAAAAGACATTGCAGTATTTTGTTCCAATCTTTGAGTGGCTCCCTAAGTACAATCTGCAGAAACTAAGGTATGATGTGCTTGCCGGAATAACCATCACCAGCCTTGCCGTTCCTCAGGGTATCAGTTATGCTAATCTTGCCGGTATCCCTCCCATCATTGGCCTATGTAAGATTTCTTCCTTTTTATATTTTTATTATGCAGAATCTTTTTTATATGAATTATTAATTGCACGCTTTGAATATCATTAATACATGAAAGCTAGATTTTAGTAATTATAAAAATTGGAAAACTTTTGTCTCAAGTGATTTCGCATAAAGGTGTAGTTTTGATTTTGCACAATTATTAAAAATAAACTAAGAAGGAACGTGTGTTTAGATGTGTTTTACATTTATGTATTCTAGTTGATTTTTAAATCCATTATTCTTTTTGTAATCTGTTGTAAAATTTAATATTTTTAAATTTATCATTTAAACTTAATTGGTATTTCTAAGTCAGTAGATTTTTTTTAATATATTATTTTAAAGTTTACTACAATTTGGTGAGCCAAGCTGTCAATCTCGGACTAGTTCACCTATGGAATTTATCCAGCAGCTTAAATTGAATTTGGTTGGTCCAGGTTATAGTTATGGACTTTCACTTAGATGGTAACCCTGTCAATTTAAGGTTATTCACTGTAATTTTACTTTCAACGTGTATTCTATAGGTGCCGTCATGCCACTATAGTGCCAATAATTTTATTCTTCTCTATATTAAAAACTTGTGTTTATTGTTAAATTAATATTAACACTGAATCTGATTCCGAACAGTATGAAGCCACTTAAATTGATTTCTCAAGAGTGTCTTTTTGCCAGCCAAATTCAAGAGTGACTTTTCATTTTCTGAAACGACTAATATAAAAAAATAACTTGAATATTACAAAGTAACTTTTTTAAAAAGACGTGGTTTTCTTTCGTGAATCATTTATAAAAACTTCCACTACATATATTACATCTATAGTTATATAGCTAAAAATTAAGATCCAAATCATATACCATATGTAACTAAAATTGCTAGAGAAAATAAAACAGAAATTAAAACAAATATGACATATTCAACGTAAAACCTAATTCCAACTTTTTAATGTTTCTCTTAACTAATTTGCTCTTATACATTAAACTCGCTCCAAATGATTTTACTGGACATATACTTATAGTTCTATATGTTCCTTATAAAAATGATGTGAATTCAGATTCAAGCTTTGTGCCGCCATTTGTGTACGCCGTGTTAGGAAGTTCAAACACTCTAGCGGTTGGTACAGTCGCAGCATGCTCTTTGCTGATCGCTGAGACATTTGGTGAGGACTTGTTGAAAACGGATCCTAACCTCTACCTTCATTTGATCTTCACATCCGCTTTCGTCACCGGTGTATTCCAATTTGCTTTGGGATTCTTCAGGTTCTTAAGTTTTTACTTTTTTTATTAATCTATATATCAATCTTTATCTCTTATATTTTATCACAATGTCATAATAGAAATTATAACTATAATTTCTAACATTGGCTTTATGCTAATCTTTTTTACGTTAAGAAGTTAATGTTTAGTTACTTGTATATTAATTAACGAATGCATGTGTATATAGGTTGGGGATGTTGGTGGATTTCTTGTCGCACTCGACCATAACAGGCTTCATGGGCGGCACAGCTATCATCATTCTCCTACAACAGCTTAAGGGAATCTTTGGTATAGTCCACTTTACGCACAAAACCGACGTCGTTTCAGTTCTCCACTCGGTCTTCAGCCACCGTGATGAGGTCTCACTTTCAATCTATTTTCTTAAGTAAAAAGTATTCATTATGGTGGCTAATTGTATTTAACTTGGGAGGGTGTTACTTGGTGCAGTGGAAATGGCAAAGTGCACTCGCTGGGGCCTGTTTTCTTATTTTCCTCCAATCTACTCGATACATCGTATACTTTCTTCTCTTTCTTTTATTTATTTTAATGCTTTATCCGTTTATTAGAGACAAAATCATTGGTCCCTCACAAATCTTCCACTATTCTATTTTTCTCTTTTGTAATCATTTCTTGCCTTTTTTACATACCCAATTTGACTTGGAAATTTTGGAAAAAGTAATTTGAACAGTTCTGTTGACCATAAAAACTTTTATTTCCTTGTTTATTATCCACAAGCTAATCCTTTTTATCCTGAAACATGTATATGTATAGTAAAATAATATCCACTGCTTTCTCAAGTGTCTCACAAGAATATAATATGTTTGCAACTATTGCAGAAGAAGATAAAACCAAAGCTATTTTGGGTATCAGCAATGGGTCCAATGGTGGTTGTCCTTGTGGGTTGCCTAGTTGCTTATTTTGTGAAAGGAGCAGAACACGGGATCAAAACTGTGAGCACATTTCTTTGCGTTGTTACACACTAGCAATGCATTTTTAGATAATATTGTATACTAACAAACAAAGATAAAGTTCACGGAATGGTTAAAAGAGTTAGTAACTTGGATTTCTATTAATAGTATGTTTCTGCATACAGGTTGGGCCTCTAAAGAAAGGACTAAACCCTTCTTCTATTCAATATTTGACCTTCGATGCCAAGTATCTACCGTTGGTTTTGAAGGCCGGAATCGTTACTGGGCTCATCGCTTTGGCTGTAAATAATTATATTTCACCATGTTTTCTTTATAACTAATATTTCACCTATATGTGTGATTTAATAAGAATGTTAATGGTTAATTTCAGGAAGGGATTGCCATCGGAAGAAGCTTCGCTGTAATGAAGAACGAACAAACGGACGGGAACAAAGAGATGATAGCATTTGGTCTTATGAACATAATCGGCTCCTTTACTTCTTGTTATTTGACAACTGGTAATTACTTTAATTTTAATATATATTTGAAAATACAGTAAAATAACATTTAAGTATTTAACATATTCTTATTCTAAAATAGCGCAGAACAGAAGAAATTTCTAAAATAACATTAATTAAGAATGTTTAAATTATTATATTAGGTTTGAGTTTAGTGACTAGATAGTCTAGAGTTTAGTATTAAGAAGATGAGGTTATGATAAAAAATGTAGGATTTGGATTAATTTGGTCATTTTAGTCTTTAATCTATTATATTAAAAGAGAAGTCATGACTCACTTCATGTGTGATTTTTTTAGTTTGGACTATCCTTAAAAATTTTATATAAATTTACATAACGTCATTATAATATCTTTTCATATCTTTAATTTTTATTTGAAATACAAATAAATAGTTTTAAGAAAATTCTAACAAAATGTGTTAAAAATCTTATAGAATCTTTTCAAGATATAGTTTCAAAAATTATTTGATTAAAATTTAATTATGATAGAATATAATTAAAATTTAATTCATTTTTTTAACAAAATATTAAAATTATGTAATAAACTTTTAACAATATCCCAAAATTTTATTTATGTATTATGTACGTCCAATTTAATTTACTTTTTATATATTTAAAATTTAGAAATAAAACAAAATATATAAATTAGTAATGTTACATAATAATGTTTTTTAAAATTGTTACAAAAATACAAATTTAGAAATTTTAAATTAATAATATTATAAGCTACATAAATATTATTATAAAATTGGATAGTATATACAATCAAATTATATTTATTTATTGATAAATTTTAATCCCTCTGTTACTTAATATATGATGTTTTGGATCACAGTACAAAAATTAAGAAATTTACATTCTTTTACAAAAGTATTTTTAAAGATATAATTTTATAATCATTCAACAAATTATTAAACAGAGTAAAATTTTATCGGTTGAACAGTTTCCAATAAAGTTAAAGATAATTTTAAAACCTCAAAATATACCCTAAATCTCAAAACATCTTATATTTTAAAATAAAATAAATCTTATAAAACATCATCTATTTAAACCAGAGTGAGTATTAGATAATTTCAAATATTTTCGTATTAAAATACCCGCACGGTTGTGCGGGTCGAGATCTAGTTAGTATTATTTTGGAGATTTTTCTACTTATGTGAAATTTTTGTTATAATTTTTTAGAGCTATTTGATAGATTTGTCCAATATATTTTACAGCCTGAAAAATAGTTTTTTTTTTTTTTGAATAAGCCTGAAAATACCCTGTGATGCTAAATATTGGCGGGAACTTTCAGGGCCATTTTCAAAGACAGCAGTGAACTACAACGCAGGGACAAAGACACCAATGTCCAACATAGTGATGGGCTTTTGCATGATGCTAGTGCTTCTCTTCCTAGCGCCTCTATTCAGCTACACACCACTAGTTGCTCTCGCAGCCATCATAATGTCAGCCATGTTGGGCCTCATCGACTACGAAGAGATGTACCATCTCTTCAAAGTTGACAAGTTTGATTTCCTCGTCTGCATGTCTGCTTTCTTCGGTGTCTCTTTCATTAGCATGGACTACGGTCTCATTATTTCCGTTGGATTCTCTGTCTTGAGAGCATTGTTGTACGTTGCACGGCCCTCCACTTGTAAATTGGGAAGAATACCAAACTCGGTTATGTTTCGTGACATAGAACAGTACCCTGTCGCTGAGGAGATGCTTGGTTATGTTATTCTTCAAATGGGTTCTCCTATCTTCTTTGCTAACAGTACTTACGTCCGTGAAAGGATCTTGAGGTGGATTCGTGATGAACCTGAAGGCGTCGAGTTTCTCCTTCTTGATCTCTCTGGTGAGTCACTATCAAACATATTTTATCTTGATTTTGTCACTAAATACATGTTATCTTTTTAATTTTTAATTGCTAATTAATAGTGTGTTGTCTCTTAGGTGTTTCAAGCGTTGACATGACCGGGATGGAAACACTACTCGAAGTCCGGAGAATACTTGTATCAAAAGGCATCAAGGTTTATACACTTCTTCACTTTTTAAAAGAGTCCTTAGAATACTTTACAAAAACTCAAAAAAGATTATATACTTTTTGAGTGCAGATGGTGATAATAAATCCAAGATTTGAAGTCTTAGAAAAGATGATGTTAGCACATTTTGTAGAGAAGATAGGAAAGGAGTATGTGTTCCTGTCCATTGACGATGCGGTTCAAGCCTGTCGATTTAATCTTTCCACCGCCAAACCCGAACCCTGACCACCGTTTATTAGTGGAAGGTTCTTAACAAGTTAAAGTCGTATTTTAGGTTATGTGCTCAAATATTCAATAACTGGCTAGTCTCTTTTAGACTACTATGAATGTTTCGTGGGTATGCCATTTGTAACATAAAGAAACCGAGTGAAATATGGTAGAAAAGATTTCAGTATAATTTGAATTAAGCAAAAATGTCAATGTACAGTGTACCAAATGTCTTAAATATATTTATGTGTATCTCTATACATTAAGCTTCATATCAACCATTAACCAACTTGACCATCTTACCCACCTAACAAACTTTATTATGGTATGGCGAAAGCTATACATTGAAGGAAGAACACAAACATGAGATAATAATACCTTGTTTGTTAATGAAAAAAATTCTGCAGCCACCGTTGAGGGAATTAAGACAAAGTAAGATTTTATTTGCAATTAGGAAGTTTTTAAGATATCTCTGATGCAACTCCATTTTTAACTCTAAAATATAATAAAAGAGAATATAGAGTATAAAACACTCTAATCCTATTCTATTTCTCAATTCATAATATAATTTATTATATAAATAGAATAATTTATTTTTTATTTATCTATCACTCTATTATGGAATGAGACATAAAATGAGATTGATATATTTTTATTCTATATTCTCTTTTATTCTATTTTTTTTTAAATGAAATTTTACATTAGAAATATTTTTAGTCTTATATCTATATATGAACCTAACATTTTAGTAAAAACACATATATTAATTCATGCAAAAACATCTCTAGCTCGTCTTTATTTTTTTCTAAAATAAAAATATATATAATAAACATAAGTTTTATTCTAATGTATGCATTTATAAATAAAATTTTTAATATAGTAAAATGTTATTTTGTCTCTGTTTTCAAAGATAAATGATAAAATTATTTTAAAAGAAGAAGTTTAGAAACCATAAATTGGAACAAATTTATTATAGAACTGTAGTAAAAAAATGAAAATGCTCTAAGGTACAACTCGTTCTACTTGAACTGGATCAGAGAAACATTTCCTTTCTTCAAGTTTTGCAAAATTAATTACAAAAATATATTGTGAAATATGCTAGATGTCATCACATTTCGTAAGGTGATAATTTCATAACTAATATTTTCAATTAAAAATCTATGAAGATTATAAAAAAAATTATAAAGTCAACAAAAACACAAAACCAAGTCTCCAAAACAGAAAAGTCAATTAAAAACAGATAACTCTGCAAAACACTTCTACGGTTTCAAAGCTTTGTTTCCTCCGTCGCGAACCGAACATGAAGACATCATCTCTCTTCCTTCTCTCCTTCCTCATCCTCTTACCTCTCTCCTTACAAGATCCGATCCCAGAACTCAAACCACCACCGACTCGTGCTCACGCGGAGCTCACTAACCATGGTTTCCCGATTGGTCTCCTCCCTCTATCCGTCAAAGACTACTACATCAACAAAACCTCCGGAGATTTCTCCCTCTTCCTCCACGGGACTTGCAAAATCACTCTTCCTCCCGACAACTACCTCGCCACTTACTCAAACAAAGTAACTGGTCGGATCACACATGGTCAGATCGCTGAGCTCCGTGGGATTCGGGTCAGAGCGTTTTTTCAGTGGTGGTCTATCACAGGGATTCGCTCCTCTGGTGATAATTTGGTGTTCGAGGTCGGTGTTGTGACTGCTAAATACCCTTCGAAGAATTTCGACGAGAGTCTTGATTGTGAAGGGAAACGTTCTTCTTCTTGATTCATTTCAAGAGGTAAAAGGTTATTAACTTTCTTTATTTGTTTTTGTATTTGTAATGATTAATCTTAGTTGCTAGCTTTGTAATGAATTCAAATGTTGGGATCTTCTTCTTGATTCAGTTCATGAGTTAAAGGTTAATAACTTTCTTTAACGATTCTAAAGTTCATATTTTATTTAGTTTTGTACTTTATGAGTTTAGAATATTCAAAGTGAGTTGGGATCTTTAGTTGGCTTTTGTCTGCATCTTTCCTTTACTGCTAGACTGATCTTTTTATACCTTTCATGGCCAACTATAACAGTAAACAAATCTTTTAGTTTGGTCATGAAAAATTGAAAGTTATGGTGTAATGAATTTGATTTAGCGATGCCTTGTATTTATTGTTTAAGTTAATGACCATGATGATGTTACGGTCTTTGTTCGGACCTTAAATGTTTATGTAGATTGCTTGCACTAGGTTGCAACATTTTAGTGTTTGGATGGTTTGTTTTGGTAATTAATGAGTGGTTTTTGTCTACATTGCATGCAGATCTGTGAAGCCAGGAGGAACAAGTGAAAGCTAGTTTGTAATATATTTATCTCCATCCGAAGAATAATGCTTGTAATGTAATCTTAACCACGATACTATTCTTGTTTTCTATGCAAACTAAAGGCTTCATGGAGGCTTGTAAGTTGTGAACCAAATATGGGTTAATATGTGATATGGGACTTAAAAACAAGCAAGAACCGTCATGTCTTGATATTCATATCATATAACTACTAAAATTCGACGCACTGCAGGGTAACATCATTCTTTACCACACTCAGCGAAGAACTCACCTTTACTACATACCTGAGTACGAGATGGACATGTATTCGTTCCATAGGTCCATAACACGATCATATTCTCCCACTGCGTTGAAAACACGAGTAGAAGTTACTGAAATGAATTGGCATGATACATGTTTGACACTGCTTATTGTCGTCGTAATCTCTGCCCAATTTGTCATCAAGTCTCAGGTGATGTTGTTGACGACCCAAATGTTGTATTACTCCAATCATTAATCCTAGTTTTTCTTTTGCCTCTCCCTCAAATTCTATACAACCCACACGTTATTCTGAGTGGCACATCTTAAATGAGCCGAACAACCATCCTTGATGCAAGCTAATATTTTTGGAATCAATAGATTGTTTTTAGTTTTCAACGGTTGTTTTTTTTGTTGAACATTTATTATGGGGGGTTTCATACACTATAATTACTGAATTACAAATTTGTTAGGGTCAAAACTAGTCCAACACGAGTACACGCGACCTCAGTCATTTACCTTTTCATACGTGATGGTCTCTGCATGACCACGTCATTTTTAAAAGAGCAAAAGAGATAAAATTCTTCTTTTTATCAAAGACTCTCCACAAAACTAGAAATTGATTGATGTAGAGTCTTCTTAGTTCTTACCACACACATAAAAATAGAAATAGCTAAAAATAAACTCAAGTAAAATAACCTATAAAATATGTTTACACCCAAGTTGATTACTCCGGCATTCATAATCCAAATAAGCATCAAATTTCTCATCTCATCAACCAAAAAAAAAAGAAATTAAAATTTTAAAATTTTAAAAATCTAAAAACTACAAAACTTACAAAAAAAATGAGAGCATCAACAAGACTCATATGGACAGTAACTGTCCTTGTACTTGCAGCTGTGTCGGAAGCAGTCTTCCCTTTACCATATATTCCATTTCTACCTGGATCCCATAACCGTAAGCTTGGGAAACAAGAGGGAGGTAAAAAAGCTGGAGGAAGACGGCGAGGCGGTGAAGAAGCTCAGACAAACTGGCCTGGTAAATGGGAGTTATTCTTACCAAACTCGGGTGTGTCAGCAATGCATGCGATTCTAATGCCAGTCATCAACCAAGTCCAATTCTACGACGCAACCATCTGGAGAATCTCACAGATTAAGCTGCCTCCAGGCGTACCATGTCACGTCGTTGACCCCAAGATTAATAGAGTCGATTGTTGGGCTCACTCGGTTCTCGTTGATATCAACACCGGTGCCCTTAAGCCTCTATCCGTATGTTCTCATCATTCCCAATCTCATGCATGCATACATTAACAGAATAGTCCTAAGCATATCTAAGTGAAACATTAATCTTAAAACACTATAAATTTTGAATTAATATATATGAAAATAAACCCTCAAATTTTTTTTTTTAAATTGTTTATGGCTCTCAGAATCTCTTGGCATTCCATGTATATATATAGTATTACTTGGACTTGAATTAAATATCTCTATTCACATTTTGATGATAGCTTACTACTGATACATGGTGCTCATCGGGAGGTCTAACCATCAACGGGACATTAGTGAGCACTGGAGGATATGGAGGAGGAGCCAACACGGCTAGATACCTAGCTGCTTGTCCAAACTGTCAATGGATTGAATACCCTCAAGCACTAGCTGCAAAGAGATGGTACTCAACGCAAGCCTCTCTTGCTGACGGAAAGTTCTTCGTGATAGGAGGACGTGACGCCTTAAACTACGAATACATCCCAGAGGAAGGACAAAACAACAAGAAGCTATACGACTCATTACTCCTAAAACAAACAGACGACCCGGACGAGAACAACCTCTACCCTTTCGTATGGCTCAACACTGATGGTAACCTCTTCATTTTCGCAAACAACCGTTCCGTCCTTCTAAGCCCCAAAACAAACCAAGTCATCAAAGAGTTCCCTCAGCTCCCTGGTGGTACACGTAACTACCCTGGATCAGGCTCATCTGCACTCCTCCCCATCCAACTTTACATGAACAACGCCAAAGTCATCCCTGCTGATGTCCTCGTCTGCGGTGGCTCCAAACAAGACGCGTATAACCGTGCGGGTAAAAAAGATTTTGAGCCAGCGTTGCAGGACTGCGCGAGGTTAAGCATCAACAGCGGGAAGCCACGATGGAAGATTGAGATGATGCCTACGCCGCGAGTCATGAGTGACACTGTCATCCTCCCTAACGGAGATGTGATTCTAGTCAATGGAGCTAAACGTGGATGTTCGGGTTGGGGGTATGGCAAGGATCCTGCCTTTGCTCCCATCTTGTACAAGCCTCGTGGTAAACGCGGCAAGCGTTTCAAGGAGCTCGCGGGCTCCACCATCCCGCGTATGTACCACTCCATCGCTATCGCTCTTCCCGATGGTAAAGTTCTTGTTGGCGGTAGCAACACCAACGATGGTTACAGGTACAACGTTGAGTTCCCAACGGAGCTTCGAGTTGAGAAATTCTCACCGCCTTACCTCGACCCGGCTCTTGCCAACATGAGGCCGAAGATCGTCATCAACGGAACACCAAAACAGATTAAATACGGAAACATCTTCAAGGTAAAGGTGGAACTTGACCAAAAGGACGTGACCAAGGAGAATCTCAAGGCTCATATGTTAGCACCTTCCTTTACAACGCATAGTATCTCGATGAACATGAGGATGCTCCTCTTGGGTGTGGCTAATGTCAACCCTGCTGGTGGCAATTCTTTTGAAATCGAAGCCGCGGCACCACCCAGTGGAAACCTGGCACCACCGGGTTACTATCTTCTCTTTGCCGTTTACAAAGGTGTTCCCAGCATTGGTGAATGGATTCAAATCGTCTGACGATGGTTTATTACCAATTTTTTTCTTCTTATGCCTTAGCATTTTACGTCAAAATAAAATCTAGTACTAATCAGTTAAAATAATATCTAGTAATAACTTTTTTTCTTATGCCTTAGCGTTTTATGTTAAAATAAAATCTAGTCACAATCAGTTTTTACTTAATTTTCATTACAACTTTTTGGGTCTTTTCATTCTTCATTAGTTCTTTTTTTTTTTTTTTTGAGATTTGGGTAAACAGACCACTGGATGGTTCGATGATCACTCTCTGTCAACCCCTTTAGACCGCAAAATGGTAGACAAAAATGTTCATGGTGAGGAAAATTCATCATATAAACCTAACCAAACCATCTCATTCTCTGTTCTACAATTGATCCTCAACCATTTGCATAACATAATGGTATTAGTTTCCATTACAACACACACTACTCATCCCTTATCAGTTTCATCAGCTACTCATCTCTATTTCTACTGGAAAACATATTCCCTAGGAAAGTGACTCTCAATCATTTGCTGTATATCATAATGGCATTACCATTACACCATCTCATCACCTACCTACCAGTTTCATCAGCTAATCATCACCTAATCACTTATCACTTACCGTGCCGGCCCTGGGCCATGCTCAGTGAAACATTTGCCATAGGTCCCCCAAAACTAAATAGACATAGGCCCAAAAAAATTGTTTATGCTCCCAAATTTGTACAAAAAAAAACTAGATAGACATAGCCACAAGCCCCCAAAACCTCAGGGCCGGCCTCGGCCTCGTAGACTTAGCTTATCACTTATCAGTTCTATAAGCACTCTCGCTATCTACATTGCTAGAACAAGAATGAAGCAATTCTAAATCTCACAAGAAACAGAGTCAAACTTCTTCATTATTCCAATCACAGAGACGCGATCAGTTAGTGAACTGATCACTGACCAACGCAAAGCCAAATTCCAAATACAATAAAGCTCGTACCTACCAAAGCAAGCCCGATCTGAGTCTCTTCCCCCAAAAGCACCCCGAACGCGGCGGTCGCGGCGAACGTCGTGGCGTTGGTGACCGGAACGGCGATGGAGATCGGGGAGTCGCCGAGGAGAGCGAAGAACGTGGCGGAGGCGGAGAGGTTCACGAGGAAAGGAAGGGAGTATTGCCAGAAGAGGAGGAGGTTGATCCAGTCGCGGAGAGCGGTTAGGATTTTGCGGCGGATCTGAAGAGGAGGAGGAGGAGACTGTGTTGTTGACGATGATGAAGAAGATTTTTTGTCCCAGGCGAGTGCTCCGCGGCGGATCAGAGCGTTGGTGGCTCCCCAGACGAGTCCAACGGCCACCATTTTCTGGATGTCTTCCTTCATTTCTGGTTTAGCCAGGCGATCTCCTCTCTGCGAATTCGGTTTGTTCGTATAGGATTCGCTAGTGAAGATGGAATATAAAAGAAGGACTAGATTTAAAAATTTGTTTAAATATTCAGACGTGTTTATATTTTATTAAATTATTCGTTCGTGTATATTAATTGATTTAGAAATTCAGTATTAATAGTTTATGCAATTTGATTGATTCTGAAATATATACTGAATTTTTCGACAAAAAAATATATATTGAATTTAATTAAAATTTATTGTTGTGCTACTATATAACATATCAAATTCCAAATAGTAATCATTTTGTTTCAATGAAAAGTATTACTCTTTTATTCTAAAAATAAATTAAGATAATGATTGCAATATATTTATATTTTTATTAGTTACACTTATTTAATCAATATTTGAAATACATAAAATTATTTCTAAAATTAATGCATTTTATACTAATATTAAATTTATAATATATAGAAATTACCTTTAAATTTTAAGGTGATATTTAAAATGTAACGAGAAAAATGTGAAACGTATACGTATTTATTTATAAGATTATTTGATTTGGATTTGAGTTATGTAGTTTTGCTAAAAAGTCTTATATCAAAAATATTTTTAAATCAAGTAATTTTTTTATAAAATAAATTAATTTCTAACTCTGTAGATTTAAAGAACTTATAAGTTACAAGAATAAATAAATTTAACATGAATTAATTTGAATATCTAAATCTATTAAAATACATAAACTGTTATGTGTTTAAAAGTTCATGTTAAAATTGTATTATTGGTTCTAAAATCAACAATTTCTAGTTCAAATCAGTATTTCTGTTGAGCCAATCAATGTTATTCACATTACAATGTTAGTTTCATAATACAATACAAGGTTGTTAGCTTCAAAATGCCAAATTAACCAAAACACGGTACACAACATGAAGCAATAGTCAAACAAGCAAAACCAAATGTCAAACTCTACCACAAATGTCAGCAGACACCAAGACTCTCATGTCCAAATCCTAAACCAATGCCTGCATTATATTTACACACACACTTTAACCTCCCCTACTCTCTCTCTCGCTCCCTCTCTTTGTTTTTTCTTCTTCGATATATGCTCTCTTCTACACTACTATCAGTGTCTATCACTCGGGCTTCTCATATTCTCTAACTTCGATAGATATGAAAGTTTCTTCGGTAAAGCTCTTGGAGACTTCATCATCGGCTTCTCCTGCTCAGCTCTGTAGAAGAACTCGATATCACTCATCGAACTATGTTTCTTTTCTGATGACAGTCTCCACCCTATGAAGTCTGATAGTTTCCTCGAGTTTGGTGTTTCTGCTGATACCACCTGTCTTTGAGCTAACAAATCAGCTTCAAGAACATCCTCTATTCTTGACAATATCTTCAAAGCCAGATTTTCTAATACCCTTGAATAGCTTTCCAAAATCGTGGGTCCCACGTCCTGTATAGGGCATCAGATCAAATTCTGATTTAGTTTCAGTAACTGTTCATGTTTGTTTTGTCTTTGTTGGTTTTTACTAGGCATAGACATTCAGGTTCTATTCAGATTTAAATTGGGGTTTTGGATTTCCGGTATCATGCTCATAAGCTTCATTCAAGTTTTCTAGTTTTTTTGTCGTATTCAATTCTTCCTTGGTTCGGTTGTGGTCATGTTATAACAATGTATGAAACTACCTATTTTTCGGTTGTGGTCGGGTTATAACCAATGTATGAAACTACCTATTTTATTAAGAAAATACTGAAAATTATACTAAAATATTTAAACTATTTTTAAAATATGATAACAAACTAACCTTATTGTTTTTGACCTTGGAGATTTCAAGTGAAGATTGTGGGATTGCTTAAACAATATGTTTCGCATAATGTAAATGTAAACTATGATCTGATGCAGACTTACACTTAGACCATCAAAGAGACCCCACTTTCTTTATGATTAATAAGTGTAAACTACTAGCAGAGAGATTTGTTCTGGGGCTCTTCGAAAGCAATGAACCACACACACTAAAAGAATCACTTCATCTTCTGCTCAGTGAAGAGGACATGGCGGTTGACACGAGGATCGTACTTGCGGAACTCAAGCTTCTCAAGAAGTCCTTTGCTACTCTTTCTCTTCACATAAAAGAATCCTGTTCCAGCTGCTGACACAAGACGGATGAACATGAACGTCTTCTTCCTCTTGTCCCCCATTTTCTTTTTCTCACTTCAATACACTAAACCAAAGAAAAGATAACTAAAGAGTCAAAGATCAAATCTCATTTTCAATATTTGTATCATTATGCGACCTTAGAAACTTAAAGAACAAAAGTGCATCCAAAAACCTTTTACTAAACATTTTCATAGATTTTGAAGCAGATCCATAAAAATTGAGCAGTATAAATTACAGACTGCAACATTACCTATGGCAGACGGTTACGAGACGGCGACGATAGGACGGCTGAGAGGAATCGGGAGAGAGAAGAAGAAACAAAAAGGCTTTTTAAAGTTATACGGCCCATTTAAATAATAATAGGCCCAATATAACCATCTTCTCTGAGCAGCTCTCATCAGGTTCTGTGTTCTCTCTCTCTCTCTGTGTTCGGTGGAGAAAAAGATCCAAATACGATCCGTTGAAAAGGTATGATGGCGATGTTCATTGCCTTCTCCTCCTCGTTGTAGTGTAGATCCTTTGATTTTCCATTTGGTTTACTGTTTCTGTTTACTATTTGATGTATGCCTGAGAACGTTGCGTTTCTCAAATGCAAGAAAAATGATCCAAACCCTGAGAAATGTCTCGACAAGGGCTCGGAAGGGCTCATATTTCTATTTGGAATACACTAAACATTAAGATGTCAAACATATCTTGAAACAGCACGCAGTTTCTACTGGTACACATAAAACAACATGATGTCAATTCAAAAGAAAAAAATAGTTTGGTCCTTCCTAGATCAACATTTTTAAAAAATTCAAAATGTTCAAAACTTATAAATACAGTTTTCAATTGATAGATTTTAACAAACTAATTATGGGTACAAATTTTTTTTTTGAAAAAAAGTAAATTTAATAACTCAAATTCATGATTTAAAGTTGCCCACTCGCACAACGCGCGTGAAAACTCCAACGCGCTCGATTTACTTATAAGAGCCTTTGGAATCTGTTTGATTTTAAAAGCAGCGCGTTTTAGCGCAAAACGACGCCGTTCCCTCCCTTATATGTACGACGCCGTTCCCTCCCTTATATGTACGACGCCGTTCCTCACTCTCAAAGTGTTCCCATTTTTTTTATTTTTTTATTTTTTCTTTTGCGAGTAGATTGGATTTTAACTTTGATCTTCTCCGTTCGGATTAGGTAATTCGAATTTGTGAGCTATGTCGAGTGCAGTGGATGCTACTGGGAACCCGATACCTACTTCTGCTGTGTTGACTGCCTCGGCGAAGCATATAGGTTTAAGATGTATGCCTGAGAACGTTGCGTTTTTCAAATGCAAAAAGAATGATCCAAACCCTGAGAAATGTCTCGACAAAGGTCGTGACGTCACTCGCTGTGTCCTTGGCTTGTACGTTTCTTACATCCTCTTTTTTTTTTTTTTTTTGTTCAAGCTTAGTAGTTCTGGGCTTTCTTTGGTTGATTGTGTTTGGGATGATACCTTGTGTTTATTTGGACGAATAATAATGAAGCCAATTACTTCCCTTTAAATGTTTACGTAGGACTCAGTTTTGATGTTTAGTTGTTTGCTCTTGTACAAAGCTGTAGTAATATCAAACAAGAAGACTTTTAACCTATCAATCATATTGTGTTAAGTATTTATCATTTCTGCACCATTTAGACATTGTTATTGTATCTCTGGTAAAGCACTAGTTTTGTTGATGGATTGATAATTGTTGCAGGCTGAAGGATCTTCACCAGAAGGAAATGGATGACTATGTTGGTTGTATGTATTACTACACAAACGAGTTTGATCTCTGTAGGAAAGAGCAAGAAGCCTTCGAGAAAATTTGTCCCTTGAAATGAGAATCACAAGTTATTTTGTCATTTGTAATCTCCTAAGAAAGCAAAACTTTTTTTTTTTATATGAGCTTACTTACACTCCCTTCAATTTGTTCTTGTTATCACCTCATTTTCCTCTCAAAGACAGCCAAATGACTCAGTTTCCATTGCTTGATGGTTCTTTAATCAGCACAGAATCTGTTTTATCTTTTCCCATACTTGACAGTGGACAACTATAGTGTTATTCAGTGTAATCCAAGATTAAGAGGCTACGTTTAGGCGTTATATGGGCCGATAGGCTTAATATATTATTAGATTTTTAAAGTAGAAGCCCACAAGAGACAAATAGAGAAATAGTGGACTCGTCCTTGACTCGTCCGGGTCATCGAACTTCCAAAACTCGCTCATCCAAAATCAAAACCCTCGGCAAAACCTCCCTCGCTTCTCTTCTCCACCATTTAAACCACGGGAAACACGAAATGTTCGCCGTTTCAACGTCGTACTTCTCGCCGACATCACTTTCTTCAGTGAGTTCCGCTTCTACTCGTATCATTTATTCTTTTTATTTTTAATTCAGTAAAAATTTGTTATAAAAATAAATTAATTTCTAACTATGTAGATGTAAAGATCTTACATATTGAAAACGTCTAGTAATACATAATTTTAACATGAATTTTAAAATTATAGAACCAATAACATTGAATTTAATTTGAATTTCTAAATCTATTAAAATACATAAACGATTATGTTTGAAATTCATGTTAAAATTGCATTATCGGTTCTAAAATCAACAAATTCTAGTTCAAATCAATATTGCTGTTGAGCTAATAAAATGTTATACACATTACAATGTTAGCTTCATAATACAAAACAATGTTGTTAGGCTTCAAAATGCAAAAATAACCAAAACACGGTACACAACATGAAGCAATATAGTCAAACAAGCAAAACCAAAATCAACAATGTAGGTGACTGAAACAAGACAAACTCTACCACAAATGTCAGCAGACACCAAGACTCTCATGTCCAAATCCTAAACCAATGCCTGCATTATATTTACACACACACTTTAACCTTCTCCCTACTCTCTCTCGCTCCCTCTCTTTGTTTTTTTCTTCCTCTATATATGCTCTCTTCTACACTACTATCAGTGTCTATCACTCGGGCTTCTCATGTTCTCTAACTTCGATAGATATGAAAGTTTCTTCGGTAGAGCTCTTGGAGACTTCATCATCGGCTTCTCCTGCTCAGCTCTGTAAAAGAACTCGATATCACTCATCGAACTATGCTTCTTTTCTGAAGACAATCTCCACCCTATGAAGTCTGATAGTTTCCTCGAGTTTGGTGTTTCTGCTGATACCACCTTTTCGGCATCTTCATATTCATATGCCGCCTCGCTTTCTAATCTCCTCTCTGCCTCTGCCATCACTTGTCTTTGAGCTAACAAATCAGCTTCAAGAACATCCTCTATTCTTGACAATATCTTCAATGCCAGATTTTCTAATACCCTTGAATAGCTCTCCAAAATAGCTTGTCCCACGTCCTGTAAAGGGAATCATATCAAATTCTGGTTCAAGTTTCAGAAAGTTTTCATGTTTGTTTTGTCTTTGTTGTTTGTTACTAGGCATGACATTCGGATTTGGATCAGGTTTTTGGATTTCTAGTACCATGCTCATAAGTTTTATTCAGATTTTCTAGTTTTTTTGTCGTATTCAATTTTTTCTGGTTTGGTTGTGATCGGGTTATAACCAATGTACGAAACTACCCTTATTTTTATTAAAAATACTAAAACTTAACCAAAAAATATCTAAATTATTTTAAAATATGATAAGAAACTAACCTTATTGTTTTTGACCTTGGAGATTTCAAGTGAGGATTGTGGGATCCTAGGGAATTGCTGCTTGAGCATAACCAAAATGGTCTCAGCTCGGACCTCAAAAAGCTCCCTCTTCTCTAAGCTAACAGAGGATCCCCACTGTGACTTCCCATCTTTCTCTTTCTGGTTCATCTTCCTCTTCCATATCACCATGGAAGCCTCAATCCTGTTCTTTAGATCAAGAACTTTGTATTCCGTTGACAACTCCAAGAAAGAGATGAAGTAGTCAGGATCAAAGTACTCATCGGTTATGTTCTTGTAAAGGAAATCTCCCAAGCTCGTCTTCCCATTCTACAAGACACAATAATTATAGATCAGCTAGTAAAAAACAAAAAAAAAAACTAATAACGTTCATCAAGAAGAAGTAAAAAACCTTTGGAAGAGAGTCAATGTAGTTGTCAGGAATGTGCATTTCCGACAAGACTACTGAATTGATGGCTGAGGCGGCTTTAAGGACCTGTGACACAGAATCTTTCTGACTATGCAATAGTTTACGTGATTCCTCAGATAGACCATCCGATGGAACCTTAACAACTGGTAACCACCAGTTCTCATCTCTCCTCCAGTCTCCATTGTTCTCTATTTCATCAACATCTCTTGGGACATACCAAAAGTCTTTCTGATCCTTGAAGTTGTCCAAAGTCTCCTGCCAAATGAATACTTTCATTAATAAGATGGCATCTCAAGAGAAGAGTTATAACAACCAGACGCAACTATATTTATGGTAAGTTCCAAAAAAACTACATTTATGCATGGAAAGCGGTTATATTACCAGGGATGCGAGAAGATAGTAGATATATATAGTGCTGAAACTATGAATAAATGAGAGATTTAACGTGGTTCAGCAATTTAAATATGTCTAAATTTGACAAAAAAAATGTTATGTTTTTTAGGTAATGTTTAAAACCGTGGTTGAAACAATCAAGTTGTATTTGATGTGGTTGCAGTTAAAAACTCACGAGAAGAACTGAGTCAAGCTGGCGCAAGGCTGGAAGATTCATCAGCAGATCATCTCTTTGTTTTGTCACCATGATCTACAATAGAAAAGTATTAATAAGATCAAATAGTCATTATAATTTTTTGGTTTTGTAACAATGACTAATAATGTATGCATTCACCTCAGTGAATGCCCCATTTTTGGTCATTTGTTTTGAAGGAACAAACTCGACAATATGATCAACAACAGATAATAACCAGTCCAGCTCTTTCCTCCAAATCTCTTTAGTCTCAGGATACATAGGCTGCAATTTCATCTGCTCACCAAACATCGAATCTGCCAATACCAAAGCCACATAGTTTGTGAATTATTCAACAATCAAACTTAATTAGTCATTAAAGTTTTTGTTATGGTAATGTTAAATATTTACCAGCAAGATGGGTGATGGCATTTGACAAAGCTAACGCGGATGACACGCCTTCTTTACCGCCTGACATGTCCTCTCCAAGCAGCAGTCTTGCGAATCTTTCCTTCATCACTTCCATGTCTGAAACAAATTAATGTAATAATCTAACAAATATGATCATTATTACAAATAAGCCAATATTAATAAGGGGTATATATATATACCTGTTGTCCTTTTTAGCTTGCCTCTACGAGTCCCTTGGTCCGATGGTGTAGCATGCATGGCAAGTTCGTGGTCAGGTGTTTGCCTGCCGTCACCGCGAGAAGAGAAGGATGAATGTCCAGAGTTCAAACCATCTAACATCTTTCTAAAACTGAAAGATCTTGGCCAACTTAGTTTACGTCCAAATGACTGCACCATCCCCAAGTAATCTTCTCAGATTATCTCTCTCCACACACTCTTTTTTTTTTCTCTATTTATTATGTTCTATTTATCAGATCATAAGGAAATGCAATCCACAAACAGAAGAGAAGAATGCAAAAGAGAAGTATAGATCAAGAACTAGTCATTTCGCTTTCCTTTGTCTCTGTTCTTTAACATAACAAAAGAAGCAAAAAAATACTTTGGAGTTTACGTGTATTTTCCAGCTTTTTTAATTTTTTTTTGAGTTGGTGCAAATGAATGAAACAGAGAAACGTTGATGAAGTTTTTGTAGAGCTGGAGAGACAAGACAACGTGCGGTGCATATTGTAAGAAAACAAGAAAAGAATTATGGAAGGGCGGTTAAGATACCGGACTTTTTCATTTCTTATTTTATCTTTAAAACTATCCGAAGAATCTACCTCAAGCTACTCAAGTTAGTGGCTTAAGAGAATTAGAAGCATAAATCATGCTGCTTAACATGTCTTATGTAAGATGTAAGGGCTAGCGGTCACTAATCGAGTCTACTAAAATATGTACACGTATAGGTTTGGAGGGCGAAAATAAATATAACATATATTTTTAACATTCTGATTTCTATATTTAGAAAAGTTTGGAAGAATTGATTTCTTTATATCTATCATCTAAATACATATATTTTCAATCAATATGTACACGTACAGGTTTGGAGGGAAACAAAATAAATAACATATACTTTTAACATTCTGATAAATGAATTGATTCATCTATTTTATATGTTAAGAATAATCATTTACAATTACCGATGTGGGATTATTGACCCTAATACACCCTCATGAGATATGATGGTTCTTTGAGTGTCAATCACTTTGGCAAAGATCGATGAACCATCTTTGGGCATAGATTCATAATGGATCATATTGGATTTGCGTGAATCGGCTCTAATACCATGTTAGATTCAGATTTATTATGGTTTTATATTTAAAATCAATTGGTGATTAGTAGATGTGATATAATTTTTTATATATTACTTAAATTTCTATTGAATTTCTGAAATGAGATATATTATCCTTAATACATTCCAGATTTCTATTTTTAGAAACTTTAAAAGAATTGATTTATTTATATATATCATCAAAATACATTTATTTTCATCATTTATTGAAAAAAATAGTATTTAAATTAAGTGTATTAAACTGAAATAATGGAAAGATGAATGATCTATAGGAATGCCTTCTGCATTATCATGCGTTGAGACCGAACATTAAAAAAAGATCAAATGGTAATTGTAGAATTAGTGGCATGGGATGGATTTACACTACAAGAAAACTAAGCCATTACTAGGAAAATTTACTAGGAAAACATTTCCTCGTAAAAATACTACTAGTTTACTTCGACTTTACGAGGAAACATCTTTTCCTCGTAAGGTTCTCGTAAACTTACGAGAAAAGCGTTTCCTCGTAAAGTGGAAGTAAATTTACGAGGCTCTTACGAGGAAAATAATATTTTCCT